GGGCGCCCCAGGCATCTGGCCCGCAGGCCTAGACCCACCATGCGACCCGCAGCGGCCACGAAGCACCCGCAGCAGACACAGAACCACACGTCCAGGCGCTCGTGAAGTCGTAGAAAATGGGAAGCATGAGGCCGGCCTCCTCCGATATGCGGGAGGCCCTCCCGCATCATGAGTGTGGAGGGCCCATCACGTAGCAGCCCTGGACAGCGAGATGCCATCCACTGCGATCGCACGGAGCGGGAGGCTGAACACCTGCATCTCAAGCAGCTGCCTCGGCTGTCCAGCGCGTGCGACGAGCCGAAGGCCTCGACCATGCTGGGCGCAGGTGGGGCCTGTCGCCGTCGCCTCGCACGTCGCACCGATGGCGTGAACTCGGCCTCGGCGCTCAGCGCGTCCAATGTAGCCCGCAGCAGGCGCCGTCTGACCACCAGCGCCATCTGCTCCGCCTGGAGCACTCGCCCTCTCTCGGTGGCAGGGAGACGGGCCAGCTCAGCGGCCTCACCTGCAAGGACGTCGGCGACCGCATTGCCCATGATCAGCCAGGGCGGGAGGCCCCGCCGCGCGGCCTCGTCCACGTCCAGGTGCGAGTTCACGTGCTCCACGACGAACTCCGACCTGTCCCTCGCCAGGAAGAGCTGGCCCAACAGGGCCCACAGGTCGCAGTCAACACCCTGCGGCCGCTGATCGCGTCTGCTCCACCAGCCCATGCAGACTGCCAGGTTGTCGGAGACGTAGACCGTCGGCCCCAGGGAGCCCTGCGCCGCTAGTACCAACGCCCGTAGCTCCCCGCGGTGCACGGTCTGCACGGGGCCGCTGAGGCTGCCTCAGACGGCCTTCTCCAGCGTGCCGTTGAGCAGGTGGATCTTGGCCACGGCGAGCCCGACCCGCCGAAGATGAGGCACCTGCCCTTCACGTCCCCCGCTGGCGTCGCCGAAAAGGACGAGGGGGTCGAGCTCGGAGCCCCGCCCAAGCTCACCAGGGGCAACACCATCGGCACGATGACCCTGCAGGAAGATCCACGAGTCGCCGTCGGGTGGGGCACTGACCTCCGTCCATGTGGCAGGGATGAGGCCCCTGAGCCAGAAGGCGGCGTGCGCCTCATGGTCGGTGGCCGCTCGGCCGCTGAACTCGTCGCTGTCGTCATATGCTTTGCTGCCTGTATTGCACGGGCAGCTCCAGTACCTGTGGCAGGCAGTCTCCTCGGCCTCTCCACAGCGCGGGCACGTCAAGAGCTCAGTGTCTCCGAAAACCTCCCTCTTTCTGGCTCGCGGCCACGCGCCGCCGACAGCGATGGTGGCGAGCAGCTCCTCAAGCGCAGGCCCTCCAGGGAGCCGCCTGAGCCTTTGAAGGAGACTCTGCAGGGAACGCAGGTCAGCTCCTCCTTCCAAGCCAGCTCCGCACCAGTGACCTGCCGCGCGCTGCCACAGGTCCTCCTGGACAGAGGCGTCGAAGGCGTCGAGGATGGCCTGGCAGGGGCCCTCGGTGATGCTGACTACGTCGGGAAAAGCCCACCTTTCACGAGAACCATCCTGAAAGTGTCGCTCCCAACCTCGAGGGCCCACAGGGCACCAGCCGTACTGCAACAGCATAGCCTGCAGGGCGGAGATGGGGCCGCGCACCAGCCTCGACCTCTCCTCGGGAGGGGCTTCGCGCAGCCTGGCATGGATGGGGATCCAGGCGCGCTCAACCCGCTGACGAACCTCCTGGCTGCTTCTCCACACCTCGAACCAGTTCTTGAGGAGCGCCCGAGGGAGGCGCCGTGCAGGGTCAAGGGCTCCCGCGCGGAGAGCCAGCTGCGTGGTGAGGCACCTCCCACGCTTGACGGCGCCTGTGACTGACGCTAACCGCCTTCGCAGCTCGGCCAGCCTGCTGCCGAAGGCGCCGAAGATCTCGAGGCCGTAGGTCGCTGCCGTCTGGAGGCCGACCTTCTCGACGAACCCGCACTTCAGGTACTGCCTTGATGCCTTGGCGATGCCTCGGAGCCGCTTGCTCGCCTGCCTCGTCTTGCCGAAGCGCTTCGAGATCGTGGAGCGCACAGGCCGTCTGCCCGCCGCGAGGTCGACTCCGAGGCATGTGCCGAAGGAAGAAGCCTGGACGGTGAACCCGTGCTGCTTGACAATCTTCGCGACCCTGCGGGCGTCCTCCAGCTGCGAGCACACCACAACACTCTTGGGGGAGAGCGCAAAGCCCTCCTGCTGCATGCCCTGCCCGAAGTCGCGGATGCCCTGCGAGACGGCAGCGACTACAGCGGGACGAGAACCCACCGCGGAGAGGGAGAGGTCATCCACCCAGATCCGCGACGGCAGGAGCTGAGGCATCCCCTGTGGGGCCCCCGTGGCGAGCCGCTCCATGGTGAAGTACGTCATGCACCTGCCGAAGCGCGTGCCCGACCGCACTCCCTGGACAACCGACTGCGAGGGGATCACGAGCCTCGAAGCCAAGCCGTCTTGCAGCAGGACGCGCCCCGCCATGCACTGCTGCAGCTCCAGGGCCAGGACGGCGGGCGGGAAGCCGCACCGAAGAGCGGCCCGAGCCAGCCCCGTCCACGGCATGCTGTCATAGAACTTCTGGATGTCCACCAGGCCGTGCGCGTAAGAGACGCCCATGGCCGCGTAGGACTCCTCGCACACGGCCCTCGCGAAGGCCTCCCGCAGCGAGGAGTTGCCAGCCACTGCTGCGTCCCACGCTGGGGCCGTGCGGCGCGACCACTCCCGCATGGCGCCCTCCCTGACCATGCTCCAGCAGCGCGTGACCATGCTGAGGACGCCGATGATGCGCTCGCCCCCGCCCTTCTTCTCCAGGACATGGCCGAGCACGAGAAGGAGCTGCTCTGGCCACGCGGCCGCCCTCTCAGCGGCGGTGTAGAGGTCCGCCAGCTCCTGCAGCGCCGCGTCAGGCAGCCTGGCCAGGTCGCCCACCGTGAGCTGGTCGATGCCCTTGCCCGTCTTGGGCCGCATGCGCAGGAGGGCCCGACGGATGTCGGCCACCGTGATGGGCTCCATCTCCTCGTACTGCACCAGCTCGCGAAGCTCTCCGAAGAGCGCCTGCAGGTCGCTGGGGTCGTAGGGACGCGGAGCCCACAACCCACTCCAGGCATCAGCCTTGGCGTCGAGGATGTCACGCGGGCGCACGAGGATGCGGCTGCCGACCAGCACCTCATCCGCTGTTGACTGTCGCTCTCTCAGCGAGCGAAACACCAGAGGGGTGGCCTCCTCGGCGCTAATCCACTGACGGAACTCGCGCAGGGAGGCCTGGACAGCGAGCCTTCGAGCACGCACTGCCGCCTCCTGGGCCGCCTCCTCCAGCGCTGTCAGGTCCTCATCCAAAATGGTGTGCGCGTCCTCCAGGCTAGCGACCAGAGAGCTGAACCTGGGAGACCTTCCAGCGCGAGGAGGGGAGGCTCGTTGACCTCCATCTGCAGCATGCTGATGCCGAGGCTGCCCGAATGGGCGCCCGCCGTTCCTGAACCGATGATAGCATTTCTTGGCCTGTGCGGGGACATGCTGGCTCAGCTCGCGCCCTGCTGCACGCAGGAGCAACCTGTCCTCGACTGCCTTCTTGCTGCGCCGACGGAGCTTGCCCAGCCGACCGGAGAGCGCTGCCACTGAGGCCCACCACCTCGCTGCCGCCCCGCGCAGGGGCTCCTTCCACGCCGTGGAGCTTGTGCCCTGCGTGGCGGGGGCGTCCACCAGCTGAGCCCTCTTGCTGCGCGAGACGCTGCCTGCATACCGCTGGCCATGCTGGCGGCAGATGGCGCGCTCCACGTGGGCTGCCCACTCGGCGTACTGGGCGCTGAGCTGCACCAGGTGGGGGCCGCCGACCAGGAGGGCTGCCGTCTCATCCTGCCCCAGAGGCTCGGGGGCGGCCTCGCGGGGGCCAGCGGCCGTGTCGAGCCAGACCGCGTCCTCCAGCTGCCACTGGCACTGCTCCCCGCTGCCGTCGCGAACATGGGGCAGTGGGGCGCGGGGAGTGGCCGTCCTCCCCCCCCCCTCGCCCCTCCAGAGGGCGCAGGGAGTGGACATCCTCCCCCCCCTCCTGGCGACGGCTGCGGGGAGGCAGGGCGGCTGCGCCCACAGGGGGTCCCTCGGGCGGGTCGCTCTCGAGGTCCCCAAACTGCGCGGCGTCGAGGTCCACGAAGGGGTCGACGTCGATGTCGTCGAGCCTCGCCGAAACGCGGCCTGTGAGGGCCGCGGGGGGGGCCTGGCCGAACTCGGGAGCCTCCCAGCCGTCGCTCTCACTGCACTCGTCGGAGGTGTCCGAGCCCGCCGAGCCCGTGCCGGTGGACGCCTCCTCTAGCACTCTGGCCTGCACGTGGATGCCGTAGAGCTGGTCGTGTAGGTCCAGCTCCTTCTCCCTGGCGAGGGCGCGACGGTCTGCTTCAGCTCCCGACCGACCTCTCCGCGTGCTGGCCCTCTCCTTCCTCGGGCGCGAGGCCTGCGGCAAGCTCTTGGCGAGCGCCAATCGACGGCCCTGAAGCACCTCATGGCCTGCCCGAAACTCCACCACGAGGCCGCAGCGGGTCTTCCAGGGCACAGCCGCTGTGGCCCACATGCCCGCCAGCAACGGCGCGCACGAGGCCGAGCACAATCCATAATCAATGTGTGAGCCCTCCTTGCCTGCGTCGCAGGTGGTGACTACCTTAGCCTGCACAACTTGGGCTCCGACTCGCTGTAGGAAGCCTGCACCTCGCAAGGTCTCACTCGACATGTTGAAGTCGCCGATGACCAGCCACGGGATGCGTATGGCCTGGAGGAGCCCTCCCAACTTGACGAAGCGTCGAACGTTGCTTCCTCTCCAGCCCGTGCCACTCACGCCGTAGAAGGTCACCACCACCAGCGAGCCCCTGCCCTTGAGGTGCAGCACACTGGCCTGGAAACCGTCGGCGGCAGTGGCACCAGGCGCAGCAAGACCCACGTCCGCGCTGCCCTCGAGCGTGTGCGTGAACTGACCGCGCTTGCACAACAACCACTCGCCGCCCTCACACCCTGCGACAGTGGATCCTTCTAAGAGGCCCTTCCTGGAGGGCCTCGCATGATTGGCCAAGATCTTGAGGTCGAGCTTCTTGGCTGCAACACGCCACTTCTCAAAGTGGCTCCCCTGCACGTGTGTCTCGGCGAAACAGAACGTGTTGAACCGCTCGACCGACTCCTCCACAAATCCCCATGCCAGTGGTCCCATCTCCGTGATATTCGCAAAGAATAAGCGATGGCCCCCACTGCAGACAAAATTGGAGTCGATCTCCTCAACGCCGCCCTCGAGACCCGTGCTGGCGCGGGCCGAGCCAGCCTGGGCTGGGCCCGCGGCCTCCCGTCAAGCTGAGGCTGCGGGGGCCCCGCTGGCCGCTGGGGCTCCTGGCTCGGCTGCGGGTGCGTCGGGAAGGCCTGCCTCGGCGGTCGGGGACCCGCCCTCGGCGCTGGACTGCGCCGCGGCCGCCCCGCCAGCAGCAGCCGTCTTGGCGGCCCTCGCGGCAGAGAGCTTGGCGGCGCTGATCTGCTTGGCAGCCTGCTCGATGGAGGCCACTCCCTTCTCCGCGGCGCCGCCTGCGGAGCCGCCCACAACCACCGCCTTGCCGCCGAGGACCGCGTCGCTCATCACGGCGTCGCCCTCGTCGATCTCGCTGAGGCGGTCGGGCGAGTTGGAGCCCTTCCGCTTGCGCAGTGACATCTTCACACGTTCGTGAAGACACCTGGGTCCCACGTGAGCTGGAAGATGTCCTCGCTGAGGTCCTGCTGCCGCTCTACCTCGGCGGCCTGGCGCGCCACCGCTGCTGCGGCGACACGCTTGGAGTGCTCCGCCTCCGCCAGCGCCACGGCCAACGCGTTCTCCTTCTCACGCGCCGCTGCGAGCTGGTCCTCCAGCCTGATCACCGCGTCGACTGCGCCCTGGTGCTTCCTGGCCGCCTCCTTGTGGAG